AACTTCTTCCTTCATCACCATAGGCTCTTGCTCATATGTTGTTTCATGAAATTCTTCTGTGTCTGCCAATTCCTTTCAATACAGTGACTCAGTATCTTCTTTCCATCTTCTTTTAATACTTCCTGGATCATTTAGTATTCTGCCTAAAGCATCCTTGACTATAGCAATTCGAGGTTTGAATTTGTTCTTCAGTTCCTTGAGCTTAAGAAATGCTGAGTGAGTTAGGCCTTTTTGATTTTCTGGCTCCAGCTCCTTGCACATTTCATTGTAATACTTGACTTAATATTTTACATTATCTAGATAAGTGAAATTTACAGCTTAAGGAATATTCCTAATGAGGATATGGATTAAAATGATCTGCAAAATAGTATAGATAAAGAAGTTGAACAAAACCTTTTTAATTCTTGAGTAAATATCTCCATTTCTCGTAATGGGGAGACCTTGTTTGCTGGTCTCTAAAAAATTCCCTACTTTTAAGCATGTGTAATAAAAAGTACAGTTGGCTGTTATGGCTGTTATTTGCCCTTCCTTCATTTTTCCCCTTTGGGTTTTCTTCAGTAACCAGTTCAAGAAGTTCCCTCAGATGACCTCATATCACCGGATGCTATTACACCGGGTAGCTGCCTATTTTGGGATGGACCATAATGTTGATCAAACTGGAAAAGCTGTCATCATCAACAAAACCAGTAACACAAGAATGTAAGGAAAGGGGAAGACTTTTCTGGGATAATCTGCTAGGGTGGAGGAAGAAGATATAGTATGAAGTGCTGTCTTCTAAGGAAGGGGCTTTGTGAAAAGATTATCAGCAGTTCTCTCACACATAATTATTCTATTCGAGGTCATGAGCACAGGTTTTAGAATTCCTGGTAGTTTTTAAAGACTGGCACTAGTCTCTTTTTCTTCAGGGATAAAACATGCATAACTTTGGAGCAAAAACCATTTACAGATATATTGAAGGACAGCTTGAGTAATTCATTTAAACCTTGATGTGATGTTTTGCATTCCCAACTCCAAAAACCCCCTGAATAGCATATTGTGGAATATAAGAGAGCTATTTCTAACAAAAGGGTTTTTTCCTTCTCTTCTCCCACATTTCTGTTGCAATCCCAGTCCTGAACAAAGGTTCTCAGAACATATAAAAGATGAGAAGAATACAGAATTTCAACAGAGATTCATTCTCAAGAGAGATGATGCCAGTATGGATCGAGACGATAACCAGGTGAAGAGTGGAAAAGGGTGGGCCTATACAGAGACCTTACACTAAGAGAGACTGGGGACGGAGAAGAATTTTTGTGGGATAGTGAAAACTCAAAATATCTTAATATGAAAAAAAAATGTACTGAGCTATACTGAGTTGGCTTTGACGTAACATTGAGGGCTGACTACACTTGTTGAGCTGAATGCCACCCTCTAACCCCAGAGAAACATGGTGCTGAGGTTTGCTGGATTTTCTCATTTGGCCTAGAACTCCGTGACTTACAATAGCAAGTTATTGTGGGACGAAGCAAGGTCTCCATCTGTTTCAGCATTGATATAGATGGTTTCATTTTTTTTAAAAAAAGTTAGATATTTCTTTTGGAATCACAAAAGATACTTTGCCCTACATCTATTCTTCACTTAGCTCAAGTACAGGATTAGCCTTGAACTAGAAAATTTATGACCTAATTTATCCACTTAAAAATATTTTTCTGACTCCTTTCTGCAACCTCCTTAATCTTTTCCCAGTTCCTTCCACCCAGGTGAGTGAGTTACTTTGATTATTGATTCTGGCATTATCTGACAGTATCCCCTTTGTAATTCACTCCTATGGGAATATGCGGTGGACAGTCTATCCCGTCCCTTCATTTAACAGCCTGACAACCTCTGGTTATCCTTTAGATAGTAAGTGATAGTTTGAGGGTAAGTTTTTCTAAGAAAAAGTTTTAGTACCAGCCTGCTTCTATTTGGCCTCCAAAAGGGTATTAGATAAAGGGTAAGATTAAGGATTTAAAGAGTTTGATTGAGTTGAGCCAATATAATTCTAGATAATTAATGATAATTACATCTTACCTCTAGAGTTAAAAGTCTTGTTTTTAGGGTATTGTATAGTCTAGACTCCAGCACCTGTCCTGCCTCCTACTTGAATATTTGAGGGAGTTCTTTTGAGAAAAATGCTGTATCTGTTATGGACAAACACACTGGGTCTGATTGAAACAAAAAAAAAAAAACCTATAAAATTTTAAAACCAAGAAAGAGCCTTTCCATCCTGATACCCTTCTCTCCATTTTGCCCAAAACCCTTTTTCCTGTGGATCAGGAATTATTCAGGCCTACAAGCAAATTGGCAGAGTGAACTTTGTCCCAATTGTGAACTTTTCATCTCTCAGCTTCAGGCTTGATCAATAATAGGGTAGGCTCTGTGTACTTTCTGTCCATGGGATTAATAATAAACATATTATTCTATTCTATCTTATTGAGTGTCTTTCCTGAGCTAGGTTCTGTTATAGACATGTTACATATATTATCTCTTTTGATCTTCTCCATAACCCAGTGTTGATATGGGTTATTTGTCCCACTTTACAGAAAACTGAGACTAAGATTAGTTGTGAACACTTTTCCTGGGTAGGGTATCAACAGAGTGTCCTTTCCTCCACTGCTCTTGAAGGTAAGGAGCTCTGAGAGAGATAACATGAATGAATGTAATTCATAAATGAATGAATAAACTGAGATTAGTTGCCTAAAGTTGCCTAAAGATTGAGAGATGCCAAAGTTGAGATTCTGCCCTATCTTCACTGCCCCTTTAGATCTTTCTGTTTTGCCACATTGACACTGCTTTATGAGACTTGGGATTAAAGAAGGTATAACTCTTCAAGGTCCTTTATTTTTTTTAAATGGTATTTGTAAAAGGACATTGACTAGAATTTAGGTTCTTGAGGCTAAAACGAAAACCAAACTCACTGCTGTTGAGTCCGTTTCCAGCTCACAACAACCCACCACTGGGTTTCACAGGCTGTAAATTTTATGAGAAAAGACTGCCTCGCTTTCCCCCACTGAACTGCTGGTGGATTTGAACCACTGATAGTTAGCAGCCCTGCACATAATGTACTGTGCTACCAAATGGGAATCACATCTAATTGTACTTGAAACTCTTAAAGTTATGGCTAGCTCCAGAGCTTGATAAAGATCAAGATGATTAGCCTAGAGCAACAGTCTCCTTCAAGATGGCTTTCTCTGAAGCTTTCAGAGCCTCTGGATTGAGGATAAGACTCTCAGGGCTGGATGACATTGATTCATGTCATTTCTCTCAGAGTTCCTTGCCTTTAAGAACAGTATAGGAAAGGACACTCTGTTAATACTCTATCCAGGAGAGTGTTCACAAATAACAGACTGAGAGAGGAAAAGACAGTGATAGAAAGTTGGCTGGTAGGCCAACCAGACATGGAAAAATGATCTGTCCAACCACCACATCTAATAACCACACATCATTTTTCAGAGCATGTGAGGTTCTCTAGCTTTCATTTCCTTCTTTTGCCTTTCCATCTCTGTCTCTCACCCCCTCTCCTGTGCCTTATTTGTTCCTTTCTCTTTCTTTCTGTTCTAGTCTCTTTCTCCCCCTCCCTTTTTGTTGCTCTGTTCTTTGTCACTATTTCTGTAATTTCTTTCCGTGTCTTTCCCTCCAGTGGCAAAGTAAAGATGAGGGAAAATGCTTAGACTTTGAGTTTAGCTTCGCCCTTGGGATTTAATTTCCAAGGCCCTCTTTGCTGAGCTCTATGTGACTTGGATCTTGAGGCATGGCATTAGTGACTAAAGAAGGAGTAATACTGGTGCTAGTTCTATAAGCCTCCTCCTCTACAGCCAGCTCAGTACCTAATTGTTCCTTCTCCCTCTCTGGCTTCTTTTCTATCCTTTACTATCCCTCCAAAGAAATGTTGTTTATTTTTCCAGGGCCATTTTCTTGCTTCTTATTGACTGGAGAGCAACTGATTACTATAGGAAAGCAACCTAGTCATTAGTAGTAGTTTTCTTGATACTCTGGGGGGTGGGGAAATGGAGTGTCCCTAACCATCCAGGAAACCTGATCTCCCAAACTGCATGGTCAGATGTACCCAGTGAAACCTGCCCAGGATTGGAAATTTTATTTCTTTTCTTTTTTTTTTTCCATTTTTTTGATGGCAACTATAAATTCTCCCGGTTTCTCTTCCTTGCTGGTGTGCAGTGAGCTTGCAGTACGAGGAGAACTTAACTAGCTTAATTCTGCTCATCGATCTAGATCAGAGTTCCATTGCAGGATGGAAGGAGGAGCAAGTCAATAGAAGAGAGAGAGGAGGAATATCAAAGGGTCCGAGAGAGAATATTTGCCCGAGAGGTAAGTGTAGCTTCTGAGAGTTGTCAGCCCATAGCTTTTAGCTCTTAATCTTTGGAACTGTGAATGGAATGAACCCTCCATAAATGTTTTTGTTTTGCTTTGTTTTCAGATTACCAACATCAGCCAGCCCCAGATTTATTCTCTAAAATTAAAAGTGGCTTATTGGAAAGCTGCTTATTTTTAATTTGTACTTCTGCTGTATGGCATAGAAAAGCAACTAAAACTTGGAGTGGCTGAATGTGGTAGATATTACTAGACTCAATATAGAAATGATTTTGGCAGGGCTTATGGAAGGACCCTGAATCTTACCTGCCAGAATCTCTTTCCATTGGCCGTCTTTCAACCCCAGAGTCCATTTTAGATGTCTTTGCTTCTAAGTGGAAGATTTAGTGTCCATGCAGCCTATACATTCATCTTATCTGACAAACTGTGTGTTTAGGTTTTGTTGGTAAATATTAGAGCACAGGTCTAGCTTCCATCCTCTGGAGTTCAACATTCTACATGCATAGAGGTTACCACTATTCCCTTCTGTCCCTACCTGAACAGGAAGTCTCCTTCTTACCTTATTTCTTACTTTTCTTCTTTAGAACAAGAGTAGCTCTGTAAGCCAAAAGGCAAGTCGAATCATTTTAAGAAACTTTATTCTTAAGGGGTGTTGTCAGTATGGACACAAATAGTTGTGCTGTTTTATAGTCAAGTTAGTAAAATAGGAGGAAAAGCTAAACTCCCTTTATTGTTAAAAGATGACTAGTTGTAATCAGGATGCTTAGACAGACTCTGCTCTCCTCCCACTCCTCTCCCTCAGCAACACATAAAAACAAATCAAAAAAGCATATCTTTTCATCATCACTTAGCTCAGAAAACTGTTGTATCTTAACTTCAGAAAAACAGCTTTCCTATGAACTTGCACCATTAGCTTAAGGTGACCAGGTGCTTCCAAGAACTCTCTGAGGAGACCACTGTACAGCAAACTCTCTGGTCCATAAGTCAACAAGAAATAATCTTCTTATATTGCTAGAATCGGAGTCAGAAAACTCCTTCTTCAAAATAGCCAGCCAGTAACTTGAAGAATGTTTTCTATCTCTACTTGCAAATGAATTGGGTAGAATGAGAGATGTCATTTATACACAGCTGTGATTAGTGATATTCCTAAATTGTGCACAGAACAGGTGGATAGATAATAATTGCAAACATTTACATAGTGATTACTATTTTTCAGACACTATTTAAGCACTTTATGTAGATTAACTCATTTAATCCTCACACAAGATGTGTGAGGTAGATTTCATTATTTCCTCCATTTTAGAAATGAAGAACTCTGGCATAGAGAGGTTAAGTAAATACATAGGGTCACACAGCTAGTTAGCAGAAGAGCTAATATTTGAATTCAGATATTCTAGCTCAAGAGTTCATGCTTTTAACCCTTAAATTAATTAAACCACCTCTTGATAACTTGCTCTACCTTGGGATCTTTACATTAAGAAATACTGGTGACATCATAGCCCAGTTGACTATCTGTAATACACTCTTGCTTTACCAACACATGGACAATGACTGCCCTATTATATTAGTTAGACATTAGCAAAGCTTGGATATTCTGAAAGCATAGGGAACTTTAAATTGGGCATTGGGACTGGTTACCAATACCTGACACTAGAAAATATGTCAGTGTACCATCATAACAAAGACAAAGTTATCTCTCCTCTCTTTTTTTTCCTGATTTCTAGTCTTACCAAGCATTTGCTGACATAGGTATTTTCTGTTAAATCTTTAGAGATTTGGCCCTTTCATTTCAGCCCCTCCTGACTCTTGTCATGCTAGAAGCATCAGGATTCCCAATTCTATGTAAGGAAAAATGACAAAAATCCACTAGACTCCAAAGATTACCATAAAAATGGGCCTGGCCAGCCAGAGGGAGCTGAAGAAGGGTGAAATATAGGTTCTGGGAGTGGGGAGAGCAGGAGGCAGACCCAAAAGAGAAATGGCTAGAAGGGTGTTTGGATGGAAATGCTGCTGCTGCAGCTTCTCTAAAGCCTGAGCTCTTAATTAGGAAAACCACCCAACATTGATTCTGCTATATGTAGAGCCTAATTTGCTCAGCAGCTGGACACTCTTGGTACTTCTTCTTCAGGCTTGAGAGTCCACTCATTTCACTCAGCTCAGTGCTTTGTCAGGAAATAACCCTCAAAAGAAATGTTTTTTATTTTCTCCCTCTTTTTTTAGGCTCCTACCCATTTCTTACCCTCCTTGGGTCCTAGGTGTGAATGTCTTTCATTTTGGCCAATGTAAGGCAGAAACAGAATAGCCACTGAAGATGATTTCTTAAAACCTAAATTTGAGGTTCCCCCCCTTATGTCCCTTTTCCTCCCCTGTGGAGATACTCCTTAGGACCAGGCACACCAGTTGGTTTTCTCAGCTTACCCTTAGAATAAATTTGAGACAGAAAAGAAAGTAATAAATTAATATTTTCCTTTTCCTCTCTTTCATACTTTTACCTTTATCAGCCTCTGTTTTTGAAAACTGTAGGAAGCTAAAAATACCTAATACATTTTTCTTTTAAAGGTGACAAGTCAGGTTGGGTATGTGGGTACGGGTCATCTTGTCCATGCTCCCTCTCACTGTCAGTAGGGTGAGCTTTGGTTTGAGGATCTTGGGTATTCGTAGCATCATGGACACCCTTTTTGGTTATCCCATGCTGTTTTCTTATAAGTTATTTTCCGTTTTCTTCCCCTCACCTAGACTGGCCAGAACGGATATCTAAATGACATCAGGTTAGTACCACTTAGCATGTTCCCCGCTTTCCATTGAGCTTTTATGTCAGTGAGGTTAATATAATCCTGTAATGATGCTTTTCTTTGATGTTAACCAACAGACTCTCCAAAGAAGCCTTTTCTTCTAGTTCTCACAAGAGAAGGCAGATATTTAGGTACTTCTGTGTGATTTATACCTCTCCTTTTTTTAAATTTTATTTTGTTTGCTGTAATCTTTTCAGCGGAGTGAGTTTGCTCCATGCATGGCTGCTTGTGGAATAATTCAACTTGTGGTTTTTGCAGCATTGGATTTTTCCCCATTAAAGAGAAATAGGCTCCTTCTCAATGACTTTATTTTTATTGATTCTATTTTTGAGTCCTAGATAGTTGGTGAAATGGGTCGAATAGATATGTCCAAAATGGGTCCTCATGCCACTGAAAAGTTTGGTCAAACTAGGAACTTTTAAAGGGCTTGAACATACATTTATGTTTAGGTAATAGAATTGGTATCTTCTGGAAACTGTTCCTGAATGTGTGAAAAGACATGAGGAGTTTGTCTTTGACCCAGTATAATGTTTTGCACCTTTAAGGAAAAAATAGTATACACATACATACATCTCTTTATGAATAGTTTTCTCTTTAAGACAATATATGGGCAATACAACCTCAGAAAGAACTTTTCTCCTTAAAGTGGACTTAGAGCATGCTTTTTATATGATTGTCCGTAACTACTTGTTTTAGTGCTAGTGAAAATTACTAATTTCCCCCAAACCCAAACCCACTGCCTGATAGCTGATGCACTATGCCACCCCGAACGAAACCCATTGCCATCTGTTCAGTTTTGACTCAGAGCAACCCTCCATCAGCTTTCCAAGGTTATACATTTTTAAAGGAGGAGATTGCTCATCTTTCTCCTGCAGAGTAGCTGTTGCTTTTGAACTGCTACCCCTTTGATTAGCAGTGAAACATGTAATACACCGTTCCATTAGAACTCCTCATTATTTCCCCATTGCATCATACTTTACGATTAATCATCAGACTTCCTTTAATTTTTATCTATCTTTCCTATCCCAGAGGATTATACCAAGACATGATGAGAGAAGTGTTATTTTAAGGCAATGTGCTAGTGCCATTTTTAAGTACATTTTTCCTAAAACCATACTCCCTGCCATTGAGTTAGTTCCTACACCACTGGTTTTCCAAGGCTGTACAAATAAGAGGAAACTGCCTGTTTTTCTCTTCAGGAATTATTTGTAAATTCAACTGCTGACCTTTTGGTTAACAGCCCCATATTATGCACTGTGTCACCAGAGCTCCAGTGTACCAGTGGAAAAACCTATAAAGTACAGAAAACTTGAATTTATAACACTAGTTTGAGTATACTACTTCTCCCTCATTTTAAATCCTGGTCTAGAAAGGGATTGACTAATTCAGATTCGTTAGACATCTCATTCTCATTCGTTTAGCCGTCCTTTCCCAATTGTTCTTTCGAAAACTAGTCAAACCATGTAGAAAATTATTCTTGGGAGAATTTGTTTCCTTTTCCATATCTCTGAACTCTTTCCAAGCAGAGAGGGCTCCATGGTGTTGATGGTGGTAAGGAATAGAATCCTCACCTTTCCCTTCCCCTCTTTAAATTGTTGTTCCATAGCCTGCACTTCAGGGCCAAAGATAATTCCAGAATGCCTTTCATAAGCAAGAGTTTTGAAGGAACTCTTGTGGAATCTGTGTGACTTCATGCACAATGGTTTAACAGTTGCCAAAGTAAATTTTATGTGGCTCAGTCTTTCACTGTCTGGTAATGGATACATCTAAGAAAACCAAAAGCAGAGGGTTTCAATATCTAGCCCCTATTTACATGGCTAAAAGTGGCAAAACTGGGGCTATACCCAGTGTTCTTTCATTTTACCATTCCAGCTCTCTACAGCAATACCCCTTGCTCTTTGAATATTTTTGTCTTTGGAGCCTTAATTCATATTTATTACTAAGAATTATGTGTTTAGTAGTGCCATGGATCACCAAACTACTTAAAAGTGGTTAATAATTTTAAGGATCTGGTGAGCAAGTGCAGACCTCATTTTAAGCTATTTTTTTTACTGAGTTTTTATTAAATACCTAATTCATCTAAAATACAGCTTCATGGATTCTTTACATTTTCCTCTATTTGAGTACAGTCCAGAACTTGGGTAATTAGAAGCTGATATTTTCTAATTATTTCATCTTTCTTCTGAGATTTGTTTATGAAATGTCAGAACACCAATTACTATTGAATTTGGATATGGATAATATTTTCAATACTTATGGTAACTTCTCAGTACTTTGGACGATTTTACCTCATTAGTAAATAAGCCCAATGAGGCATACTGATATTTATTGCCACTGCCATCCCCCAAACCAAGAAGAACAGGCTTTTCACCAGCACGGAATCTATAGAATGAAACTAAATCACTCTATTTTTATGGGAGTACGCAATGGGAATGAATACTGTCTTCCATTTACCCCATCTCACGTAGTGCAATCTGAAGCCCGGAATCAAGTTTGAGTAACTTCTTAGCCACTTTATGTTTATTGAAGTAGAAATAAAATTATTAGAGAATAGGTTTAAGGAGCCCTGCTGTCATAGTGGATAAGGATTAGCACTTCAAACCCAGAGGCAGGCAGTTCAAATTTTGCTCCATGGGAGAAAGATAGATAGTCTCCTCTCATACATTTTACAGCTTCTGAAAACTCACTGGAGGGTCAGCTATGAGTTGGTTAAGATCTGATGGCAATGAGTGAGTGAGACAATAGGTTTAATTATAGAGAAAGAAAATTAATCTCTCTCTTGGTCAGTATTCACTCTGGATTCTCTCTCACAGGAGTAGTATATAATCCAGATGAGCAAAAAATATCACCAGTCCATGTTTTGAGCATTTGGCCACCACAATCTTAAGAGAATGGTTGATTGCAGAAGTGCTGCTAGCAGCTTTGGCCCCAAAATTTCCCAAGATGGTTGGTTTAAAGTTTCCTCACTCACTGCTACCTTGGTAAAATAAAAAAGTAAAAAAGATTATTGTAGCAGCGTTTGGTTTAGGTGGAAGAGTACGTTAGGACCTGTCATAAAATTTAAGCTCTAATATTTTCAAGTTAGAGCAGCTTTATCTATTGTCACAACTATGTCTTCCACACAAATAGACATCCTTATTGAGACTTCTTAGTAGACTTGCCTTTGCCCATTGAATCAAGTCTGATTCTATAATTATAATTTCATAATATAATTCTCTTGCTTCTCATTCTAGTTTTGACAGCTTCAAAAGAAAGATAAAGTGTTGAGGACACAAGAATGTTTTCAGGTCCTAAGTTTTAACTTTGTAGAGAGAAACTTTGAGGTTATGTATAAATTTACTTGAGTTTGCAGAGAATAAAAATTGGCATTTCCTAAGTAGTTAAGCTAGTGTATTCGTAGTTTATCATGGTTGGCTCTGCTAAAAGCTAGAATACTTGAGCCTAGTTCCCTATAATGCCTTTGGAGCCAGTATACATAATACCTTGTTTTTTTCAGAATAACTAGTGTCTTTAGAGCTAATAAAATTGGATCAAAGTTTACTATTTGCTTTATGGAATGATGGTGAAAAGAAGGGAACCCAAGTTACTATGATTTTTGCTTCATTGCATCCAGATATATATAGTAAACCCTTGTGATTACTGTTTGGTTCCCGTAGGTCATTAGTTGGGGGAAGAATGAACTCCTTACCTTGGCTGTTTATTGATTGAGAAGCTGTTAGAATTCAGTAAGACTTAGTTTTCAGGTCAATTCAGGCTATCTTAAGAAGTCCAGTTGTTTATAATCACAGGCACTGATTACCATCAGGATAACTGATGCTTTCATGGTAGATTTAGAAAGAATTCCTTTTCTTAGTAGCCTTGTGCAATAGATGGGGCATCTAACAATAGTATAGGGCATTTAACAGTGTTCCACCCCTTCCCATCCTGTATCCTAAGAATTTTTTTGTTTTAACTTGCTTAGCACTTTAGTCCCAAGTGAACCAAGAGAATTGTTTCCAGACATGGGAACAAACATGGAACTTTTATAAAACAGTTTGGGTCAATTCCTGTGAGACCAAGTTTTCTCACTGTTCCTTTAAACTACTTTACTCCTCTTCCCATACTTGGAAAGATTGTCATCAGAAGCACCTCTACTGGTTTAGACACATGTTATGTGAAGACCTGTCCTATAATTTATCCATATCATTGATTAGTTCTGCCTTCAAGCAATAGTATCTTCTAGGAGTTCTTTTATTTATTTTTTTTTTAAAGAACTCCTAGAAGGAGTCAGTACCCCTCTGTTCCCACTGTTTCCTGCATGTGCGGGATCCCTGCAAGGGCTGGAGAAGAGGCCATAGCCAATCTCAGCATCATGTGTGGTTTCTGTCCACCTCTGGTCTAATGTTTTGAATTAGTTGCCAGTGCACTGTCTTCCAGATTTGCCTTTGTGCTCTTTGTGGCTGTACTGGATCTTGTTCTGTCTGCTCCCATCAAGTCTCAGTTGGCCAGCTAACTAACAAGAAGTCAGTGTCTATCCTCTCCCAACCCTCACCCTTTCTTTGTTATTGAAAGAATAAAAATGAACTCTCTTCTTGCCCTTCTGCTGAAGTGGTGGGTGGGGGGTGCTCTGACCGCTGTGGTCTCTGCAGGGGGAACCGAGAGGGGCTAAGCCACACCTCAAGCAGCCGCCAGAGCAGCACAGACAGCGAACTCAAATCCCTGGAGCCCCGGCCCTGGAGCAGTACAGATTCTGATGTCTCTGTCCGGAGCATGCGGCCCCCTGTCACCAAAGCCAGCAGCTTCAGTGGAATCTCTATCCTGACCCGAGGAGACAGCATTGGAAGCAGTAAAGGTGGCAGTGCAGGAAGGATCTCCAGGCCAGGTACCCCTATTTCCTTCCATGTTATGCTCATCCCTTCTTGCTTGTTGTCTTTAAGTAGTAGTAGTAGCATAGAAAATATTTTCATTTTTATTTTCATTGTTGCACATTTTCTTCCCCCTTTTGTCACCCCTTTCCCACACCGCCCATGTACCCCTTTTTCCAGATTGTTGTCATACATATAATACCTAACTATATATTCCTTTCAGACAGTTCTTCCCTTCATCTGATCTAATGCAGTATTGTCTATCCACGCTTTTCCCATTCTCTCCCTAGCACTCCTATTTCTGTCCTGTTTCATAGCAATGGTGTTACCCAGTGTTTTGTCCTTTTTGGACTGAGATAATTTCACTCAGCATAATGTCCTCCAGACTCCCCCATGTTGTGTAATGTTTTACAAGTTCATTGTTTTTCAGTGCTGCATAATATTTCATTATGTGAATGTACCATAGTTTTTCTATCTATTTATTTGTTGATGAATGGCCTTGCTTGTCCTCTGAGAAACATCACCAATACTTAGTTTGGGGGTTTCTTCTTCTTTTGTTGCACATTTTCCTCCCTGCCTCTCCTCCCCCATTTGTTTTTTTTTCTAAAAAAAAAAGTTCTTTCATTGTTATACAGTCCCACCACCACCATGCAGCTCTTATTCTGCACTCTTGTCATGCCAATACCTAAGCATATATTCCTTTTATACAGTTTTCTCTCTCATCTGTTTTAATGCCGTGTACATTATTTACCCCCTCTTTTTTTAGTTTCCCCCCAATCCCCTTGTCAGTCCTATTTTATAACAGTGGCACTGTGCAGTATTTGTCCTTTTGTGACTGAGATATTTCACTCAGCATAATGTCCTCCCTTGGAAGGAGGAGTGGCATCCACTTCTGTAATAGCTTGCCTCCGGAAACCCTATGAACCTGGAGAGAGGATGAAAAGCACCCAAGCGTCAAGGACTCTCCTTCATAGGGTCACTATGAGTCACCTGCAAATCAACTGCACTTAACAACAAGAACAATGTCCTCCAGGATCACCCATTTATATATTTTATGAGTTCTTTGTTTTTCAATGCAGTATAGTATTCCATTGTGTAAATAAACCACAGCTTCTCTATCCATTCATTTGTTGATGGGCACTTGGCTTATTTCCAGCTCTTTGCTATTGTGAACAAAGCAGCAATAAACATGGGTGTGCATCTGTCTGCTTTTTTTTTTGTATACATATACACACTGAAATTTTATTTTAATTGTGTGTGTGTGTGTGTGTACCGTCAAATCAGATCTGACTGGTACAGGAGGAGATTGTCCCTCCTTTTCCCGGCAGAGCATCTGGTGGATTTGAAATATTTTTTTTAATTATTATTAAATTTTATTAGTTTTAATGAACATTTACAGAGATTTTGGGTTTTCATTCATTCATTGTTGCACTGTTTTCTCTACCCTCCTCCCCAGTTCGTTCTTCTTCCCCCCGAATGTCTGTTTTAATTGTCCAATTGCTACAGTGCTTGTCAAAGCCAGTTCTGATTAATCTCCTTTGTCAGTGTGTCCTTTGCCATTCCCTATCACTCCTCCCTGAGAGAGACTTCACCCTGATTCATAAGGAAAAGGGGATGGCGTATTCTCTTAGCTACTTCCTGCTGAAAAAGGACGCTGTGGGTTTCAGGGTGAAGATCTTCTCTCACTACTCTAAAGGGCCCTTTGGCAGTAGGAAACACATAGACTATTATGGAGATTGATTTTGGAATTTAGATGCACTGTTATCAATTGTGCTTAGCCGTACATGTTCATATCCTTGAATATGTATCATGGAAGTGTTGCAACATAGAAGACACAAATTTAACTAACAAGTTAAAAGCTCTGGTTTCTTTAGGGTGTATTCCCAGTAGTGGAATTGCCGGATCAAATGGTATTTCTGTTTGCAACTTTTTGAGAAAGCGCCATACAGCCTTCCTTAGTGGTTGCACCATTTTGAACTCCCACCAACAGTAAAGTTTCCAGGTTTTCCACAACCTCGCCAGCATTTGTTGTTTGCTACTCTGTTAAATTTTACTATTCTAACTGGGGTGAGATGATATCTCATAGTTGTTTTTCCAATATTTAGTTTTAACAAAACACTTACCCTGTTTCTTTTCTAGAAACCTAGAATACCTAGGTGATAAGTTTGATTTCTTGAGGCCAACAATTAATTTGAGTTTTCTCTCTCTGATTTCCTTTCAGACTTTCTCTCTCCTGATTGAAATAAAAACTGATTGGGATGACTGTTTTGCCTGGTTTCTGAGGGAGACCCAGATCCATGCTATATACTAAAATGGTAGCCTTTGAGATTATAAAATGGATTTGTGGAACAGAGAGAGTGTTTACAGTTTAGCTGTTTGTAATTAGTAAAAGGTAGTATGCACAATCCTGCATAATAATAATAACAACAATAATTTTACAAGTGTCTATCTAGATCAGTATGTAAGAGAATATGTGTGGGACAGCATAATGGGAATGCAGTTCTGAGTCTATATAGATTTTAGAGAGGATTTTTTTTCTAGATTATTTCTACATACATTTTCGTATGTGTTGCAGATAAATCTAGGTATGTAATAGAGTGTACAGGGAGCAAAACTGCACACATCTTGTGATTGTTGTATACTGTCAAATTCAAACTGACCCATAGCTGAACCTCAGATGGGTTTTCAGAGCCAGTTAATCAAATGAGAGGAAATTGTCCATGCTTCTGCTGCACATCTTAGCTATAACTAAACTCCTTGAGGGACTTGAGTCACTGAACTTGAGGAATTAGGACCATAGTCTTAGGGGACATTAGGTCATTTTACATGACATAGTTCTTAAAGACTGTGTTCTACATCCTACATCAGTGAGTAACAGTTATAGTCTTAAAAGCTTGCAAGCAGCCATTTACAATACCATTACTAGCTTCTTCCCATATAGAGCAAAGGAGAATGAAGAAAATCAAAGACTCAAAGAAACAATTAGTAAAAAGAACTATCTAGTACCTGGCTATCACCAACCACTCAGATCAGGACTATAATAAAAGGTTCTGTACAGAGCAGGAGAAAAGTGTAGAACAAAATTCAAATCATTAAAAAGACCAGATGCACTGCTCTGATAAAGACAGGTGGAATCCACAATACTCTGGACCTCAGGTACCCTTCAAACCTGGAACTGAACCTACTCCTGAAGATCACCTTTCAGTCAAACAGTAGACATGCTCATAAAGTGAACAGTCCCATTCTTGATGAACTTGCCTCACAGATCAACCATATGAGACCAAAAGGGCAGCATTTGCCCAGAAACAAAGTTTCTGGACAAAGACAGGAAAGATAGACAAATTAAAATAGGGACCCAGAGTGAACGTTGAGAAAAGCTGTTAAATTGAGGGAATTGCAGTTAATGGCTTAAAATGTATATAAATTATTGAACGGGAAACTAATTTGCTCTATAAACTTTCACCCAAACCTCAATAAAATTTTAATAAGTGCTTCTGTGACTGCTCCCCTGTAGCTCAGTCACTGCAATGGAGCAATTTATCATACACACCACTTTTAAGACCTTTGATCACCTTATAGCTCTCTTTAGCCAGTGGACTTCAATTTTACCATTCTTCTGCCTCTAAAAAAACCAAATATGTTGGTGACACGAATTCATCCGCCTGGTCAAAATGCGAATCTTTGTAAAGACCCTAACTGGCAAGACCATCACCATGGAAGTGGTTCCCAGCGATACCATCAAGAACGTGAAGGCCAAGATCCAGGATAAGGAGGGCATCCCACCCAACCAGAAGAGGCTCATCTTTGCAGGCAAGCAGCTGGTAGACGGCAGCACTTTTTCTGACTACAACATCTAGAGTCATCCCTGCACCTCGTCCTTCATCTGTGAGGTGGTATGCAGAGTTTCATCAAAACTCTCACTGGCAACACCATCACCGTGGAAGTGGATCCCAGTGATACCATCGAGAACGTGAAGGCCAAGATCCAGGATAAGGAGGGCATCCCACCCAACCATCAGAGGATCATCTTTGCAGGGAAGCAGCTGGAAGATGGCCACACTCTTTCTGACTACAACATCCAGAAAGAGTCAACTGCACCTTGTCCTTCATCTGAGGGGTGGCTGTTAATTATTCTTTAGTGTTACATTCAAAGTGCCCAATGATGGCATCATTCTGCATGATAGCCTTTTCTCTCAATTTTAGAAATTAGCAGTTTCACTAATCACTGAATCTGTTCAAAATGTTAATAAAAGTTTTGTTATATGGTAAAAAAAACCAAATGACTAGCATCTTATCCTAGACATTCTGTGAGTCAGGTCCTTAGTAGATAATTAGTAGTAGTAAGAGTATCACCTCTGAATATTAGATCTCTGCTGCTTTTCTCTGTCACCTCCTTTCTAATCCCACTGTCTGTGCCTTTGTTCAAACTTATATTTTCTTATATTTAATTATCACATTAGCCCTTCCAAGGACACTCTGGAAGCACAGTCTAGAGAGAGTTAATGCTGCTAACCCAAAGGCCACACTTCTTTGATGGTCAGAACCCACCAGCAGCTTGGATGGAGAAAGATGTACAATCTCCTCCTGTATGACTTAATGACCTTGGTAACCAGCTGGAGGAGCAACTATGAGTCAGGTCCAGCTCTACAGGATGGAGGGGGCCAGAGAGAAAGAGTCCCTCCAAACTGATTTCTCTGTTCATTGGCAGCCTATCTTAGGGCCAGTTTACCAATCTAGTCACATCAGCCCCCTCTTTAAAACTGCAGAATATAAACAAAAATATTGAGTTCCTGTTTCTTTGTTGAATACTAAAGTTCCAAACTACTTAATATAGTATAATCTTACTTTCTGACTCTATCTAGTTTGCCATCTCATTTGTATTTCTAGATAACCACCCTTCTCAGACCATCTACCCATTTCTTGAATCTGGAATTAAAGCTGTACCCCTCAGCCTGCCAACTTTTTCTCTTTTAAGCCCACCTTTTCTCCTCCTCTTCTTTAAATCATTCCTGTCCCTT